CGACCTGCCCTGAACCCAGACCTGATCCCAACCCCAGACCTGCCCCTGCCCCAGGCTTGGGTCCATCACTGATACCATCGCCCTCCTTTCAGGGGCCGGAGCAGGAGGGAGGAAGGGGGAGCTGCTGGAGCCTGGCATGGAGCCCGGGGAAAGGAAGAGGCTCTTGTCCGCCTCACTGGAAGGAGACTGGAGAGAAGAGAACAGTCAGTATTGCCCCCGCCTGTCCCCCCGCTGCCCCGGAGGCTCTGCCCGGGCTTTCCTGTGCCCGCGGCCGGTCTCTGTGAAAGGGCACAGGTGTGGCTTAGGTTCGCTGCGCTCCGCTGACTGGCTGCCCTGGTGTAACTCCCCTGCCTGGGAATAAGCCCTAGTATTTCCACCAACGCCTCTGCCTGACCTTCCAGACCTGTTTAGGTCTTCCCGGACGTTTGCGCCGCGGGGTCAATGTTCGTGTCCAGTTGTGAATAGAGACACAGGCACAGACAAGTCCTGCTGGGATTCCAGGATTATGTTGACTCTATAGATAAGTTGGGGCGAGAATTAACTTAACAATATTGAGTCTACCAACCCATAAACATTGTTAATTCTCATCAGTAATGCTTTGTAGTTTCAGCGAGCAGGTGCGCAACACCTCTACTGCTAGATTTTTGATGGTTTTTAATGCTGTTGTCGATGACATTTCCTAAAAAAATACATTTTTATTGATTTTTTAGAGAGGAAGGGAGAGGGAGAGAGAGAAAGAGAAACATTTCCGTGGTCTGCCTCCTGCACACCCCCCACTGCGTCCAACTGGTGACGTCTTGGTGCACAGGGGATGCTCAGTCCACTGAGCCACACCGGCTGGGCTCGTAGATGACATTTTTAAGTTTTATTTTATACTTGTTTCTAGTATATATAGAAATACAATTGATTTCATTTTACTGACTTGGAATTTGGTGACTTTCTTAAACACACTAATTATTATAATGTGTAGATTCATTTATATTCATTATGTGCACAATCACCTGACATCTTTTCCATTTTTATCCATTTTATTTCTTTTTCTTGCATTATTGCATTGGCTAGCTCTTTCATATCATGTTGACTGCAGCTGGGATAGGTCACATCTTTTTTTTTTTTCTTCCCAAACTCAGAGGTTAAGTGCTCAGCATTTCACCGTGAAGTATGATGTTGCTCTAAGTTTTAAAGGAGGCCCCCTTTATTCCTGGTTTACTGAGAGTTTTTAAATGAATAGCTATTACGTTTTATTACACTCTTCTGTATTTATTGAGATGATAATATATATATATTTTCTTTAGTCTATGAGTGTGGTGGATTGTGTTGCTGGATTGTCAAATATTAAACCAACTTTGTACTCATGGACTAAACCCCACATGGTCACACTGTTTTGTTTTGTTTTATATGTTACTGGATTTGACCTACACTTTTTTTTTTTTTTGGTTTAAGATTTTTGTGTCCATTTTTATGAGCAAGTCTGGCCTGTACTATTCCTTTTTTGTAATTAAGTTTATGGCTTCATAAAAAGAGTCAAAAAGAGTCTGTTTCCCCCATATGATGAAAGGTTTTATATAAGGTATTTTTTCCCTTTAAATATTTGGAAAGATTGACCTGTGGTGTCATCAGGACAGACCTGGGGACAGGTGTGTGTGGGCAGGCTGGGCAGGAATGGTGGGACGGGCTGGACCTCTGTGATTCCGCCTGGTGTCTCCCACATTAAGAGAGCACCCATTTGCCTCGATGTCTATTTTCTCTTTTGCAGAAATAAAACGAGGAATTTCCCAAGACTTGTCTCCTTCCCCCAAATTAGACAGATACAGAATGGCAAGACAACTGACGGAAAAGGCCATCAAGGTAAATGCTCTTTGGGGCTCAGTGGAGAGGGGGCACTTTCTTTTTTTTTTAAATTCTTGCCCAAGGATATTTTTCCGTTGCTTTTCAGAGACAGTGGCGGGGGTGGGGGGGGCGAGAGGGAGAGGGAGAGGGAGATCAATGTGACAGACACACATCGATTAGTTGCCCCCCCCACACACACCCCAACCTGGGGCTGGGGGTTGAGCCTGCAACCAAGGTACATGACCTTGCCTGGAATCGAACCTGGGACCCTTTCAGCCCACAGGCCGAAGCTCTAATCACTAAGCCAGACTAGCTAGGGCAGGGGGGCACTTTCAAAAGTGGGAATTGATTTCAGAATTTGGGGAGTGAGTCCAGGGCTCTGATGCCCACCCCTGGCCAGCCTTGGTCCCTGCCCTGGCCCTCCAGCCCTGGCCCCCACATGCAGGCTTGTACTAGTTACTTTTCATTTCATTTCTGGATGTTGGAAATAGGTAATACTCTCAAAATTGGGATGGTGCAGACATATAAGCTATGGAAGACCGTCCTGTGTCCCTCTGTTCTTTGTCCCACTGTGTGACCTCTGGCTGTGGATGCACTTCCGAACTGGGATTCTGCATCAGGCACAAGCTCTTAGTGACTCAAAGAGCCCCTTATGTGGGTCCCTCACACCTCAGGCCCCTCAAGGGGATGTGGTGAGGACAGATGCCACCTTTACTGGGGAAAGACCACTCTCTGTCTCTGTCATGCATTGATGGCCTTGCTCAGAAGGCAGGGACCATGGGAACCCTGAGAATTCCAAGGCAAATTGGTCCACAGACCCATGCTCTGTCCTTTCTCTTGAAACACAAACACATAGCCACCCAAACTGCACAGCTCGCCATGCACTTGGGGAGAGAAACAGAACACACGTAACACGTGTTGTCGGCAGCAGTGACCACAGTCCTGAGAGAGGACACATTCATTACCCTCAGAATCTGCCTTCTACCCTTGATTGCCCCCTCCCCCCAAATCCTGGCCACCACGGATGTGCCTTCCGTGATCTCTGCCACCATTCTTTCTGGGATTTCATATAAATAACAGCTCAGTGACTCTCAATTTCCGTTTGAAACCTGAAAACATATAAACATTTCAGACTACAAACATCCCTCAAAGTACCACTTTAGCTGCATTCCATGAGCTTTCATTTGTAGTATTTTTATTGAGAGTCAGTTGAAAGTATTTTATAACCCATAGGATTACTTCCTCATTGATCATGGGCTACTTACAAGTATAGTTCAGAATGTCTATACTTTTCTAGGCTGGTTGCATTGTGGCTGAGAATGTAGCCTGTATAATGTTATTCTACTGAGGTGTGTTCAGACTCTCGTTACGCCTGGTGTTTTGTTCATGTAGGTGGAAGGTGGCATGGACTGCTGTCGGGTAGAGCTTGTTATTTGCATTGTCCAAGTCTTGTGGTCACATTGAATCTTTGTCTGTGTTCCGTCACTTACTCGGAGAAGCACCCTGTTAACGCCCTGTTATAATGTGGATTTGTCTATGCTTCAGTTCTGTCCATTTTCGCTGTAGATACCTTACAGCCCTATCAACAGGTGCATATGAATGTATCTTCCTGTGGAATTGACTCTTTCAATTATGAAATAATTGTCTTTACTTTAGTGATATTAATTTGTCCCAAAGTCTGTTCTGATTTAGGTCCTTTCATTTTCTACCCATCCATAGACTTGTGCTTTTGGTTTTCTCTCTTAAACAACATAGAGTTGGGTTTTTAAAAACCTAGTCTGTCTCTACCTTTCAGCCACAGTAGGAAGTATGTTTATCTAGTCCAGGGGTGGGGCACGTCCAGCCCACTGGCCGTAAATCATTTGGTCAGGCCCTGGCAAGGCAACTGCAGGTGGGACTTGAAATTCAATAAATCTAGGAGCTTTTTTCATAGCTAATTTTTAAGTTGATAATTTTGTATGGCCCATGAATGATGCTATAAATATCCAAATGGCTCTTGGCAGAAAGAAGATTCCCCACCCCTGGTCTAGTCGACTGCTGGTATCTAACTTCACTCACTCAGTGTGTCCTGTCTGCTCCGTTTCCCTCTCCTCTCATGCCTCCCGTGGACTGATTGCTTGTTTATAGTCCTTTCATTGAAAATATGCTCTCTAATTCGAGGAAAAGAAGATCTTCTCCATCTACGGACACTACCCAGTGATCCGGGCCACCCTGCGGAGGAAGGGCTGGGTGGAAAAGAAGCTGCACTTTCTGCCCAAGGTCACTGCCAATGTCGAAGACGAAGGGGCTGCTGGTAGATATTGAACCCCTTGTCCCTTGGTGTCAGATGTTTCTGTGTCCATCTCGAGGACCCAGACATGCGCCAACCCCGCAGGCCCTGGGACCTGGGCCTCCCTCAGGGCAGAGGACCCCACTGCCCATGCCGGGGCTGGCCCCCTGCCTCCCCACCCTGGCACCCAGGCACTGGGCGAGCGCTTTCAAACCCTGATGCTGGTCATCACTGTGGGTCGTACCTGGACCCTCAGACGGGCAGGTTTCTGTGGCCTGAGCCTGACTGCCCCCTGCTCTGGCTCAGGACCCACAGAGGCACTTGCAGACGAGGTTGCTGGGACCAGGTGCTGTCTGACCGTGGGGGTGGAAGCGTGGAAGCCGGTGTTCCCAGTCAGGCATTCAGGCTGTGATCCACTGACCTCTCCCATGTTGTGTTTGCAGAGAGTAAACGTGCTGAAGGCAAAGAAAACCAGGAAGTGGCCTTGGAGGAAACGGACGACATCCACGATGTGATGGTTGGTCCCCCAGAGAGTCCCTGGGGCGCCTGGGGCTAAGCCATGTCCTCGGTGCCATACACTGTGTCCTCTGGACCAGCCACAGCAGAGCCGGGCTGGGGAGCAGACAGCCCGGGTGACACGCTGCGGGACGCACGTGTGTGTGCGTGCGTGAGCATGTGCATGTGTGAGCATGTGCGTACCGTGTGCCCACGTGTAAGCCAACAAGCCATGTCTGTGACTCTGAAATGCCGTGAGGAGCAGACGGGAGAATGCACCTTGGGGCGCCCACCTGAGACCCAGTGCTGAGACGCGAGGCGTCCTCACGGGGGGTAACACAGATGACGCATGTCACACTGTGACTTCAGGGGAGGGACAGATTTAAAACAAGACCACAAGCGTTCCCTGAGGAGGAAATCTCGACACACTTGACTAGATTACAATGAGCAGTGCCTGTTCCTCAAGAAACACCATGGGAGGGGCAAAGATAAGCCAGAGGGGAGGGAGGTTTTCGGGGAGTGTGATTTAAAAGATCCGATACCTTGCCCTGGCTGGTGTGGCTCCGTTGGTTGGGAGTCGTCCTGTGCACTGAAATGTCACCAGTTTGATTCCCGGTCAGGGCACATGCCGGGGTTTCTGGCTTGATCCCTAGTGGGGTGTGTGCAGGAGGCAGCCAGTCGATGCTTCATTCTCACATCTGCGTTTTTCTCTCTCCCTCTTCCTTCCTCTCTTTCTTAAAAAAAAATCTAAAAAAGATCTGATACCCAGAATGTGTAACGAACTCACCAATCAGTCCCAAGATGACCCATAGGGAAAACAAAGACCTGAACAGGCCGCCGCGCCCGGCACGTTACATGACTCGTTTCTGTGAAAGTTGACCCGGGTGCCCCTGGGTGGCCCCATGTGCAGTGAGGGGTGGGGTGGGGACTCCAGGTCCAGGCAGCTCTGTCCTGGACGCAGTTTCTCACCCTGGTGCCTGGTGGTCCTGCTGCTGCTTTACCTGGTCTCGGACGGTTCCCCACAGCCAAGTGCCGCATCCCTGGGCTGAGCCCAGGTTCAGTGAGGGTTCAGATAAGGCCAGCAAGTGAAGGCATCCGGACCCCCTAACACAGGGTTGAGGTCTGCAGAGAGGAACCCAACGCTCTTCACCAAGGTCAGGGGTCATCTCTAGGGTATACGATTTTGGACAGAGTTTTCATTTCCTTGTATCTCGTTGGTAAAAATATTTGACCAAACACATGCCATTGGTTTGTAAACACAAAAGCGTGGGCACCAGGGCACCCATCCAGCCCCCCTCTAGCCCCTCATCCTCATGGGTCCAGGAAGGGGTGCAACCAGACCAGAAAGTATCACATTGGCCCATGTCCACATGTCCCTGTGCCCACATGGGCACCCACAGCACCCACAGGCAGGGCGCTCAGACAGCACACCAGGCCCATGTCCCCCTTGGAGCCCCTGCAGCCTGGAGTCCGAAGCACACCCCCTCCCCCCCACCAGCCGCACTGGCTCCAGCCCCGCACACAGTGGGCCTTCAAGGAACAGCAGTGCGATGGGAGATGCACAGTTGGAATCTGCATGTTGTCATTTAAAGTCCGGTTGCCTTCAATCTCGCTTACGTCCTGGCTCACCGAGGACGTGGACCTTGAATGCCGGGTCTTGATAAAGGTTTTCTTGCCAGTCCAGGTTGGTGAAAAATGAGATCCCCAACTTCCTCTGGACGATCAAACGAGACTCCATCGACTACCACAGCCTGAGCTGTGACCAGATGCTGAACCACTACGGGAGGACAGCTTCCTTCACCACCAAGGTGAGTGGGCGAGGGGGGCAGCCCCGTGGCAGGGAGAGCCACACGTGGACTGGAGAGCCACACGTGGACCGGCCGCCTCAGGACTCCTCCCACTGCCCTGGTCAGAGGCCACACCCAGTGCCAATGTCCACAGTCACAAGCACCTGCCCACCCACCTGCTCCCCAGAGCCCCATGTGCCCCTTGCTGTGTCCCTGGGTGATCCTGAGGCCACAGAAGTGCCCTCCTATGGGTACACAGGCCCAGCCTAAGATGGGGCTGGACCCTGGCTCTGAGTCCTGGGTGGGCTCCGGCCCCAAGGCAGGGTGGCCCACCCTCATCTGCATGGTGACTTATAGCTACAGGGGCAGTGACAGGCTCTGCAGGAGATGGTGACACAGTGTCAGCCATGCCCATCACTTCCCATCCTCACCTTCCAGCCCATGCTCTCTCCTGGATAAGGCTGTCCCCCATTTCCCCGAGGGCTCAGGTTCAGGGGTGGGGCCAGCCCAGGGCCTGCAAACATCGACTGGGGAGAGTTTGATAGAGGGCTTTCCTAGCAACTAGGGGACCATTCCCTCAACAGGCAAGGATGACACAGGAGGGGGTCTGGGACCAGGCCCACCACTGCCCCCACGGCTCCCTGTGGGGGGTCCAGACCTCCCTCTCTGCATCCTCACAAGGCTTAAGGCCCCGGGTGTGTCCTTTGCCATGTGGGGGTACCTGTGGGCTCCCTGCAAAGACCCTGAGTAGAGTGGCCATGAATGTGCTCAGCTTCTTTCCAAACAAGCAGTGAGCTGGACCCTGGAGTGCAGGACCTCCCGCCAGACCGTGAAACGCTAGATCGTGTCCACGGGGCCCGAGTGGAGGGTGTGCGGCTATGGTAGCCCCTCCAGCTTGCTCCTGCCTCTGCTGGGCCTGAGCCTGGGCACTGTTTAGGGACCTGGGTAGGGAATGCAGTGCCCACCAACCTGGGTGACCTCGGATAGCCCCCTGCCCTGCCTTAGACCTCTCATGGACCAGAAGATGAGCCCCAACCCCGGCCAGCATGTTGGGTCACCAGGACCAGCTGGACAGGGTGGACGGGATGGTGGGGAGAGGCCAGGCTGTCAGGTCCCCGGGGCAGGTGTGAAGGCTGGTCTGAGGTGGTGCCTGACCCTCCCTGTCTCTGGAGATCGGGCTGTGCGTGAACATGAGGAACCTGCCATGGTATGCCCAGGCCAACCCCGACACCTTCTTCCCGCGCTGCTATGGCCTGGGCTCCGACAGCGAGAAGCAGGAGTTCCTGGGTACGTAGCTGGCCTGTGCGCCGGGACCACAGGGCCTCTGGGCCCCCTCCCTGCTTCATGTGCTGCAGGAGCCTTCAGGAGGGAGATGGCATGGGCCTCGGCCAAGGGCCTGGGGACTGGGGTGGGGTGATAGTGGAGGGTCTGTCCCGTCCCAAGACCTGGGGGTTCAGCTCCGTGCACATAGTGAGGGCCGTCCAGAAACTTCCGTGGGCAGTGTGGGCGAGAGGGAGGGGAGGCTAGCAGAGGCCCTGTAACTGAGTGCCTGTGGCTTGGAGAGGCCTCCTGGCCTTGGGGATGGCGCTGGGACCAGGCTGGGGACCACAGGCTCTTGTCGGGACAAAGGGAGGGTTCCTGGTCGACCTGCAGAGAGGCCACAGGAGAGAGAAGGTGGTCAGGGCAGGTAGGGACGGGTGCATTGAGGGGTGATCTGTGTGTCCTGAGCACCCAACCTGGGCGCCATGGAGATGCGGCATCGCCCTGGCACCCCTGCCCGGTGCCCTCACCCCACCTGGGCTCCGGAGAGCAAATGGGCAGGGCCTCTGGGGGCTGGAGGGGACATGTGCAGTGTTGGCTTTCGGAGAGGGGCTGGCAGGTCACGGGGGGGAGGGCACAGAGGGGAGCAGGCCAGGAGGCACCAGGCAGCTGGGTCAGGCAGTGTCCTCAGGCAGAGGGGCAGGGGGTGGTGTGCGAGCTCAGGGGCATTGGTTCTGACCGAGGGAGGAGGCTTGGGTGAGGGGCCCTGGGGCTGGGGGGCAGCAGCAAGGGGAGCTCAGGTTCTAAGTGCCTCCAGGGAGGCAGCAACTGCTGGGTGGGCAGCTGTTGGGGAGGGGGCGGCCTCCACTGAGGCGTGGAAGGAGCAGGGTTGGGCAGGAAGGTGCTGGGATCTCCTGCAGACCCCAGGAGGGCACAGGGTGGAGTCTGGGTGGGGTGGGGACAAGGCGTGAGCTTGATCACAGGTGTGCAGGGGGACCCCAGAGCTGCCTGCTGTGCTGGGTGGGTGCTCAGGGCCTGGCTGTCAGCACTGAGCCCTGTGGAGGTTACACGCACAGCGGGGTCCAGGGAGGCTCCCGTGAGGCCAGGTCCTGGTGCTGTTGGTGGGGGACTGTCCAGGAGGAACCCTCTGGTGCTGACAGAGGACCCAGGAGCAGGGAGAGGTGGTGGGAGCCCCTGGACGGTGGTCCTGGGGGGAGGAGGCCTGGCTTCTGCCTCTAGGCCTGTTGTGGGGTGTGTTAGACCCCCATCTACAGAGGAGCAGGAGGGGGAGGCTGGGGTGAGTGCCAGCCTCCCCCAGAAGGCTGTGAGGGTGGAGCCAGGCCCCTGCAGGCTGTGGGACACCTGGGCTGTGGACAGCTGGCACTGGCTGAGGTCCCCGGTCCCCAGCGTGGGCAGAGGGGGCGAGGCCTTGGTGCCTTTTCAGATGACTTCCGGCGCACAGTGGCCTCCAGCATCCTCAAGTGGGTGGTCAGCCACCAGCACTGCCCCAGGAGCCAGGCCCAGAGCGGGAGCGAGGAGGAAGCCGAGGACAGCTGCCCCGGCAGCCAGAAAGGTGAGTGGCCGAGGCCGGACCGTGCTGGTGGGACGGCGACCGAAGGGGCTGTGGCCGCACCCTGACCCTGGTCTGCTGCATCGGACCCATGGGAGGGTGATGCTCCTGCACGCCCCGGGGAGGCCAGTTCTCCGGGGTTTTAGGCCTAAAAACCCAAGTAAGGTTTGGTGGTGGTCACGTTAACGAAGCAGTTTTAGGTTCACAGCAAAACTGAGGGAAGGAAGCCCTGGCCGGTGATGCTTCGGCCTGAGCACCAAAGGGCCCCGGGTTCGATTCCCAGTCCAGGGCACGTACCTGGGTTGCAGGTTAGATCCCCGGCCCAGGCCAGGGCGTGCGGAAGGCGACCTATCAATGTGTGTCTCTCACATCAATGTTTCCCTCCCTCCCTCTCTCTAAAATTCAATGGAACAAATACCCTCCAGTGAGGATTAACAAACAAAAAGATGGAACAGCGGCGTCCCAGCCCCTAGCATGCCAGCCCAGAACCCGAAGCCCCGTTTTTCATCTCAAAATGGCCATTTGATGTTATTTTCACCTCAACATGCTTTTAAAATGCACGTTGTCATCTCGACAGCAAGCTCATAAGCCAGGCTTTCCTCTCGGGCAGCGCTGGGCTGGGCCTGAATCGCTGGGCGCCGGGGTCTGTCCCCCCCCGGCTGCCTCTGGAGGCGAGGCCTCCACGTGCAGGGCCTGAGCCGGGTTTGCGCAGCTGGGTCTGTTTTCAGGCCCCTGCCCAGCAGCTCTGTCCAGGGCTCGCCTTCCTCAGGCTCCTGCCCCACACCTAGCGGACAGTTGCTGGTCTCAGCCCTGTCCCCACATCCTGCCTGGGCCCGTGGCTCTGGGGCAGCCAGGCCACCTGGATGAGGGCCCTCCCTGTGTTCAGTGCTTCCCGCAACCCCCCAGCGGTCGTGACCCTGGGCTTCTAGAAGGACAGTGAGATGCTGGGCAGGGCGTGTCGCACACGGGTGCTGAGCCCACACAAGCAAGGGCTCTGAGAAGCCCTAGATGCGGAGAAGCGGAGATGCCATTGCTGCCCCGCTGGGCTTGCGGGCATCACTGACATGCAGCTCACAGAGTACTTACTGAATGCCAAGTGTGGGCTCAGAAAAGTGCACGTTCCAGGGAGAGTTTGTAAGAAGTGTCATCTCATCCCCACCCCGAGGGGTTGAGTCCAGTTGGAGGGTGTGGGGGCGTCGGGGGTGCACCGAGCAGTGGGCAGGCCCCCGGGAGGGGAGCAGGTATCTCCCCAGATGAGTGGCATTCAGGTGTCTGCCCAGAGAAGTGTCACCCGCGGCCAGTGGGGCCACTCTCCATGTGCCTGTGCTTGGGTTTCAGGTCCTGAGAACGAATCGAAGCTCACTGGCCTCCCCGGACAGCTCGTGGACATGGCCTGCAAGGTGTGCCAGGCTTACCTGGGGCAGCTGGAGCACGAGGACATCGACGTCTCCGAGGACGCTGCCGGGGACCTGACTGAGAGGGAGTGGAAGCTGCTGACTGAGCAGTACTACTCCCTCGTTCAGTAAGAGCGCCTGGCGGGAGGACCCGGGGTGACTGCAGGAGGCGTCCAGGGAGGTCAGCCTCTGGGACATCGGGGCACCTGTCCGGGCATGTGGGTCACTGTCTGGGTGCTGAGGTGTCTGTCCGAGTGTTGGGGCCCTTGCCTGTCCCACGAGGCCCCTGTTGGCTTGTTAGAGGAGGACACCCCCGTTGGAGCGCCTTTGGGTCACATCAACTTAGACACCTTCCACAGCCCTCCATGCCTGTTACCCCATTTGAACCCCACAGTGGCTGTGGAGACAGGCGGGGCAGGCCTCCCGACTCCCCACGACCTGACGTCGCTTCCCTGCCATCCTCCGAGACGTGGTGCTTCTGTTTCTATTTTCGTTCTGTGGTCGTTTGCTTTGCGCATTTAGGCGCAGGTTGTTCTGTCTTCCTTCGGGTGACTCTCCCCATTACGAGATACCCACTTTACCTCGGCTGCCACCTGCTGCCTGACTCTCTCCCTGCGTGACCGTGGGGTGGCCAGGCCGCTGTCTCCCGTCGGTGTTGGCGAGGCATGCGTCTTTCTCAGGCTTTTCCTTTGCGCCTGTGGGTGGCTCTGCATTTTGAAACAGGTCTCAGATAAAGAGCATGTGTTAGTGGCTAGGTCTTGCTTTTGGCCCAGTCTTTCAATTCTTTCCTTTTTTAGAAAGAGAAAGGGAGAGGGAGAGAGAGAAACATCGATGAGAGAGAAACATCACCCATTGGCTGCCTCCTGCACGCCCCCGACGGGGATTGAGCCTGCAACCCGGGCATGTGCCCCGAGCGGGTATCGAACCGGTGGTCTCTTGGCTCAACCACTTCCTGTTAATTGGAGAGCTTGTTCCGTCTACACCGAGAGTCGTTACTGACGTGATTGGGTTCGAGCCTGTCGGTTTGCCCTTTGTGCTCTGTTTCTCTCTTTGTTTCATTAAACCTTCCCTCCTACCTCCTAATTACTCCATTTTATCTCCGATGTATCCTTTTCAGCTAAATATTTTTGTGTTTTAGTGGTCATGCTAGATACCACAATATGCCCCTTTGCTTGTTACAGGCTGCCCCGCATTTGAATCTCTATCATTTCCCGGACAATTTAACCCTCATAACAGTTGAGCCACCTTGACTCCGTCTTCCCGGCTGTCCTGCTGCCCTCACATATTTTACACCCACACAGGTACCGACTCCACCACAGGTGGTGGTGGTGTTGCTTTATTTTTTTATTAAAAAATTTTTTTTTAATTTAAATTTTATTTTTTTGCTCTCCATATATCTTTTTTTTTTTTTAATTTATCTTTATTGTTGAGAGTATTACAGGTGTCCCATTTTCCCCCCAATTGACCCCCTCCACTTCGCTCCCACCCCTTCCCCAGGCCTTCAGCCCGTCATTGTCTGTGTCCATGGCTTATGCATATAACTTCTTCGGTTAATCTCTTCCCCCCCTCCATCCCCTTCCCTCCTCCCTCTGAAATATGATCGTCTGTTGCCTGCGTCAATGTCTCTGGATCTATTTAGTTCGTCAGAGTCTTTTGTTCATTAGCTTCTTCTTAAAGAAGACCCTTCAACATTTCCTGTAGTGCTGGTCTGGTGGTGATGAACTCCTTTTGCTTTTCCTTATCTGTGAAGCTCTTTATCTGACCTTCAATTCTAAATGAAAGCTTTGCTGGGTAGAGAAATCTTGGTTGTAGTTCCATGTTTTTCATCACTTTGAATATTTCTTGCCACTCCCTTCTGGCCTGCAAAGTTTCTGTTGAGAAATCAGCTGACAGTNTTGAGAAATCAACTCACAGTCGTATGGGGGCTCCCTTGTAGGTAACTAACTGCTTTTCTCTGGCTGCTTTTAAGATTCTTTCCTTTAACCTTTGGCATTTTAACTATGATGTGTCTTGCTGTGGACCTGTTTGGGTTCCTCTTGCTTGGGACCCTCTGTGCTTCCTGTGACTTATAAGTCCATTTCTTTCCTCAGGTAGGGGAAGTTTTCCGTAATTATTTTTTCAAATAGGTTTTCAATTCCTTGGTCTCTTTCTTCCCCTTCTGGCACCCCAATAATACGAATGTTGGGCCTCTTGAAGTTGTCCCAGAGGCTCCTTATACTATCTTCATATTTCTGGATTCTTTTTTCTTTTTGTTCTTCTGGTTGGGTGTTTTTTGATTCCTCATGTTCCAAATCACTGACTTGATTCTCCAGATCCTCTACTCTACTGTTGATTCCATGTAAATTATTCTTCATTTCAGTTCCTGTAGCCTTCATTTCAAATTGGTACTTTATTATGTTATCGATTTTCTCAGTTATTTCCCTAATAGTCTGCTTAAACATCCTTATAAACAAAATTCTGAACTCTGTATCTGTTAGCTTGCTTGGATCTATTTCATTTAGTTCCTCTTCTAGAGATTTCTTCTGTTCTTTCCTTTGTGACATGTTTCTTTGCCTCCACATTTTGGCTGCTTCCAGGTGTTTGTTTCTATGTATTAGGTAGAGCTGCTATGTCTCCTGGAATTTGTAGAGTGGCTTTGTGTAGTAGGTGTCCTGTAGGGTCCAGTGGCTCAGCCTCCCCAGTCACCTGAGCTGGGCCTTCTAGGTGCTCCCCTGTGTGGGCTGTGTGCACTGTCCTGTTGTAGTTGAGCCTTGGTTGCTGTTGGTGTCACTGGGAGGAATTGACCCCCAGGCCAATCAGCTGTGAGGACCAGCTGCAACTACAGCCAAAGAGCTGCTGTGCTGGAGACACCCCTATGGAGCAGGATTTACTTCAGTGGGGCTTTGGTGTTCACCAAGTGCGCCCCATAAGTGTGTCACTCATGGATGTGATAGGGCTGTAATCCAGGGTGGTCAAGTCTGACCACCAGGTGCACTGTCCCTGAGGCCTCCTGGGAGGTACAAAGTCAGCTTATGCCAGTGCCTTGCCCAGGGCCACCCAGCATGAGCTTCACAGCAAACCATAGTTGGCTGCTACTTGTGCTGGGCTTGGAGGTGTCCAGGAGAGGCCANGAGCTTCACAGCAAACCATAGTTGGCTGCTACTTGTGCTGGGCTTGGAGGTGTCCAGGAGACCCCAAGCTATGAGCCAATGCAGGCTGCCGTTAGTGCCAGGCCTGGGGCCACTTATCAAGCTGTAAGGGGCCCGATGCTGCTTGTTTGAGAGATTTTAGGAAAGTCCTAAGCATGAGGCTTGAGAGGCCACTTGCATAGAAAAATCACTGGAAATGGCTTGGATGAGCCTGCAGGTGGGGAGGGGTGGGGCGTCCAGGAATCATGGGGCGGGGCCAAAGGTGTGAGTCAGGTGCTGGCGATTAAATATGGTGCCTGCCTGCAGGCTGTGTGTGGGGAGGACTCGCCAAAGGAGCAATGGCCTCTGCCAGCCCTTCTGCCTGGGAGGAAGCTGCCCCTCCAGCTCTCACCCAGATTCCAGGCAGGTTAGTTCCTCCCCAAGTGTCCCAGGTTCCCTTCAGTCTGCTGCCTGGCGCTGGGTTCAGAGGGAGCGTCCAAGTGAGTCCATGCCGGGCCCTTTAAGAGGAAAGCCTGGGGCTCCCACAGCCTCCGGGACCCTCAGAGACAGTCCCCCTGGTTTCACAGCCCTGAGTTGTGGGGACGTCTCTTCCTGGCCCTGGAGCCCTGGGATGGGCCGGCTGTGGGGCTGGGACCCCTCGCTCCTCCAGGAAACCCCCACCGCCGAGATTCCCTCCGAGGTTTAAACCGGGGCACCGGGTGTGGGCCCGTGGCCATGCCTCCGGGATTCAGCCCCGATCTGCCCACACCTCCGCCCCTCCTCCTGCTCTCAGTGCGTCTTCAGCTCCCTGGTTGTGGGGCTTCTGTTCAGCCAGATTTCAGGAGGCTCTGAGTGATGGTGGTTCTGTATTTTAGCTGTAATTTTGATGTGGTTGCGGGAGGTGGCAGGTGCAGCTGTTACCTATGCCGCCATCTTGTTTTCCTCCATTGTTGTTTTAAACCAATATTCTTTCCAGTTTGCTCTTTCTGGTTTTTTTCCTGTAATTTGGTAATTCCTTCTGAGATTTTCTTTTAGCCTGAAAAAAGATTCCTCTAATATTTCTTATAGTCTTGTTGCTAAAGAACCCCCCTCAGTTGCAGTTCATCCTCACTTTCAAAGGTATTTTCACCAAGACAGCCCTGTGGGTAGTGCCTCCCACCAGCACCTGAAAGATGTTATCCCACTGTCTCTGCCCTGCCATAGGCCCTGCTGAAAATCAGCCGTCACTCTCCATCTTATGGCAGCTCCTCTGAGACTTTTTATTCCTTCAAGCTGCTTTTTAAGATTTCCTCTTCTTATTTTCATTTTTAGAAGTTTGGCTTTATTAATCTTAGATGTGGTGTTCTTTGCTTTTACTCTACTTTGAGTTTTTGGAGATTTTGTCATCTGCATGTTAGAGACTTCCACCAACTTTGAAAAGCTCTCAGCCATTATCTCCTCAAATATTGCTCCTGCTCCTCTCCTTGGCCTCCAATTACAGGTCCATTTGACCATCTGATGGTGCTTCACGTGTCTCTTTGTTATGTACTGTTCTCTCCACTTTTTCCCCTCTGAGGTTGAGCATGAATAATTTTTACTGACCCGTCTTCAGGTTGATCAGTTTTGTCTTCTGTTGTCTCCAGTCTGTTTTAAAATCCACCTAGTTCTAATTACAGCACCTGGATCATCTCTCTTATATTGTTTATCTTTGTTCTTTGCTCGAAGTCAGGTTTTGGGCCTCTTCTCAGTCTCTTTCATTTTTATTATATGCTGGACATTGTGTAGACAAGAATTTCGGGACTGGAGTATGTGCCGCCCTCTGAGAGAGGTTCACACTCTCCTCCATTGTGTGTGTACAGTGTGGGGCTGACACCCTCAACCAGTGAGCAAGTGAGCAAGAAAACCCCCATGCTTCACTCCTCCCTTCCACTTTGCTGTCCCCTCCCCAGCAGGTGAATAGACAGCTGTGTCACAGAAAGCTTGGCTCCCACCTCTGGGCCATCACCATGGGTTGTGGCAGAGTCACCTGGGAGCCTGCCATATGCTGTGTCCATCCACAGTGGGGCTGATGTGGCCCTGGGGGCAGATTTCCCTTTCCCAGGCTTCCATATGTACCACTGAGCTCCAAACACCACTCAGAGAATTCTACTGTCCTTCTTCCTTTATTCCCTTAAATTATGGTGACTTCTTGGGCTTGCCCATTGTCACCATCACTGTGTGGCCACCAGCCTGACCAATGGATAGTCAAGTCCACAAGACATTAAACTGGCATCCAGCCCACATTAGGTGCAGGACACAGGGTGTGGCCAGTGTGAGCAGGTCGGCTTTTTCATCAGAAGATCCCCAGAGGCGAGACACCATCCTAGGCACCACCTACTGCTGGACACATAGGCCTGCAAGGGGCCCCACACAGAAACCACCTTTGTCTCCCTGAAGCCTTTACTCGGCCCAGGCACGACACTCTGGGGGTGTACATGTCTGGGTCCACATTCGGGCCCCCCAGTGACCACACAACACAGCCGGGAGCAGTTTTGCAAGGTCATGATCCAGGCGCTCTCAGGGCCCAGAAGTTCTAGACCTGCCATCAGGGGAACCCGAGTGCCACCCTCAGAACCTCACACTCTTTCTGCATTTTGCTTTGTAGTGACAACGCTTTCATCTCCAATTCAAGAAATCACTTTTCACAGTGCCAGGCTCTGCTGAATAAAATCTCTTCTGTGAACCCTCAGACAGAGATCGACGGGCTTCGAAACATTTGGATCGTCAAGCCTGCAGCCAAGTCCCGGGGCCGAGGTGAGTCCCGAGGCGGCATAGCAAGTCCTGGGCTGGGGCCTGCAGGGACAGCCAGCTGTGGGTGGGAAGTAGGCTGGGCACTAGGGTCCATGGAGGCAATGCACTCCCAGGCACCCGGAGCCCTGGTCTCCAAAACAGGCATCTCAACAGGACTGGTCTTCTTGGCTTTTGTTCTGAGCTCTGCTAGTTAACTAGGACATTCCCGTCATACTCCTAAGTTGAACAGGTCTACAGTTTTCTTTTTGATATTGATGATCTTGGCAACAGGCTTATGCTAGCCAGTGAATGGGTGGAGGACCTCCACCTCCGGCAGCCAGGGGTCCCCACTCCTCGGGTGTATTTCCACACTGAGCCCCGGGCATTCTCGGAAGCCCTGAATACCTTGGGAGTTTTGTCCGTGGTGACCAGTGTGGTGACACGTTTTCTACCTCATGTTCTTGCATTGCAGCCATCACCATTTTCTCTTTTTTATTCCTAGTGCTGAACACTGTGTGTTGTTTCTTTTCTTTTAAATGAGATTTCAAGATGTTTTTCTAATCTTATCCATGCTTCCAAAGAACTAACTTTTGGTTGCATTTTTTTCAATGTTCCTGTGAGGGACATTTTCCCCTCTTGGCTCTGACTTAAATGCTAAGTTTATTTATTTTTAATCTTTCTTGTGCAACTTTGAGGCTATGAAGTTTCCTCTGAATGTGGCCTTAGCTGCATCCTCTTGTTTGTTCTATAATGTTCTCATTTTCTTGAGAATCTAAATATATTTTTTCTTTTCTTTTTTTTTCTTTTGGATATTTTATTTGCCCCTTGAGTTATTTTTTTCATTGTTGTTTTAAATTCACAAGTGGTTAATTTTTATGTGATTTAAAAACTATTAATTTGATGTTATTGCATTCAGTTCTAAACATCATCTGTCCTGAAACATTCTCTCTCCTGGGCTTCTGCCTGCTCTCCTCTGAGTGCTGCCCTCCCTGCTGGGGCAGTGCCACTCCCAGACTCTGTCCTGAGCCTGCTTCTCTGGATGGCAGCACTGTCTGCTGGTGGTTCCCTCCTCCCTTCCATCAGGCCATACCTTCTCCCACTGCAGACACCTGCATCCCCTGGGACACCCATGGATCCACCTGTTCAAGACCCCAATGCACTGCTTTTCGCCCAGTCACTCACTGGCTATGCTCCTCCCTACCCTTGGCTCAGGATAACATCCATGGTTTGTTGCTTTGTCTCAGCCTTTTATTTCAGGATGGCAAGGTCTCAGCTTACTGTAGCTAAAGAAACCAGTCTGGTACTTTTGTGAGGAAAGCTCACCTTGTGTCTTGTACTGTTGTGCCTCTGGACCTAGTCAGAGGGTGCTCCCTTCACCTTCATATAAGTCAGGATGGGTCAGATTGGGTCAGATTGGCCAAGTAACAAACAGTCCTCAAACCTCAGTGGCTTTCAACAAGGCCATAAACAACTCTTGTCAAGTTCATCTCTTCTCATGCCTGCTGTCCACGCAGGTTGATGGAAAGGTGGTGTGTGAGGGTGGCTCTGTTCATCAAAGTCCCCCTGCCATCTTGTGACACCTCTCCCTTCAGAGTTGGAAAAGAGAGGGTTGCAGGGTCTGTAGGTGACATCAAATGCTGCAGCCAGAGATGTATGTCACTTCTGCTTGGATGTCACTGGTCATTACTAGTCATGTGGCCTAACTTTGGGGGTGAGCCTGAGAAGTAGGAAATCCTGAGTGTGGGAGGGCCAGGTGGATAAACACCAGTGTACCCCACTCCCTTCCATGGGCCCACCCCCATTCGTCCCAGCCACCCTTGGGTGTGAGGCTTCACCAGACCCTCACAGTTGCTGAGACACCTCACGCCCCTGCCCGCTGGCTTCCCAGAGCCAACCCTGCTCCCTCATGCAGCCACACCCCCCACTCACTGGCCGCCTTTTGAAAGTGCCTTGGTCCCCATCTCCATCCCTCCCCATCCTCAAGTCTTCTCTGGAGTTCTGGGGCTGCACTGGCTACAGGCTGGACCTGAAGTCAAGGCCTTCCCTGCCTGCCCCACCCTGCCACACCACCCTGGTGGGGCCACAGCTGACGTGGTCTTGGGCTGAGCAGGGGCCTCTTGCAGACATCGTGTGCATGAACCGTGTGGAGGAGATCCTGGAGCTGGTGGCTGCAGACCACCTCTCTGCCAAGGACAAGTGGGTGGTGCAGAAGTATATTGAGACCCCACTGCTCATCTACGACACCAAGTTCGACATCAGGCAGTGGTTCCTGGTCACCGACTGGAACCCCCTGACCATCTGGTTCTACAAGGAGAGCTATCTGCGGTTTTCCACACAGCGCTTCTCCCTGGACGACCTGGACGGGTCAGTGGGGCGTCTGCTCAGCACTGTGGGGCGGGGGAATGGGCGGGGCGCCCAAGCTGTGTCTGCCGTTGCTCATCACTGAGTGAGGCACAGAGGGGTAACCGAGGTCCCAGAAAGTTAAATGACCTCCCTCCTGCCCTGGCCAGTGTTGCTCAGTGGTTAGAGCATCGGCCCACCCAGTGAAGGGTCACAGATTCTATTCCTGGTCAAGGGCATGTACCTCGGTTGTAGGTTCAATCCCTGGCCCTGGTCGGGGCACATGTGGGAGGCAACCCATTGATGTGTCTCTCTCACGTGGGTGTTTCTCTCTCTCTCATTCCACTTCTCCCTCCCTCTCTTCTACTTTCTTTAAAAATCAGTGGAAAAAATATCCTCAGGTGAGGATTGACAAAAAAAAATTTTTTAATGACCTCCCTCCGCAAGGGACAGGCCCAGGCCCACTGCCCCTCAAGGCCAGTGCTCTGCACCCCCCACAAAGTGTGTACCCTCAGAAAGTCCCAGAAGCACCTCTGTCCTCCCTAAGCCCCACTTCTCCGAGTCTCCATCTGGGCCCAGCCCGTGGGGAGCAGGCGTGGCCCAGCAGGCGGCATGAGCACTGAAGGCCCACCACCCCGATACGATGCATTTGGCTTCCAAGGCTCTTCCATGGCCCTGTCTGGTTTCTTTTCTTTCATTCTTTTTGTAAATTTTTATTTTTAGTATGTTCTTATTAATTTTAGAGAGCAAGGGAAGGAGAGGGAGAGAGAGAGAGAAGTACTGATGAGAGAGAAACATGGATGGGCTGCCTCCTGCACGCCCCCTGCTGGGGATCGAGCCCACAGCCAGGGCCTGTGCCCTGATGGGGAATCGAACCGGCAACCTCTTGGTGAATGAGGTGATGCTCGGTCACCGAGCCACACCAGCCGGGCTGTGTCTTGTTTCTTTTTCCTTTTGTGTCTCACGTCGTAGAACGTTCCATGGGCACAGGGGCAGGGCTCAGCGCCCAGACCAGGCAGTAATTCCCAGACATAAATGGAAATGACCTTGTGGTATTTTATAATCTCCCATTGCTGTTGTTCTGTAACCTCCCATTGCGGTTGTTCTGTAACCTCCCACAACAGTTATTCTGTAATCCTCCTGGCGGTTATTCTATAATCCCCCACGGCGGTTATTCTATAATCCCCCATAATGGTTATTCTATAATCTCCCACAGCGGTTATTCTATAATCCCCCATAGTGGTTATTCTATAATCCCCCACAGCAGTTATTCTGTTTGAACCTTCTTAGAACAAGGTCTGAGTCTAAATGAATCAAATGAAAATTTCAGTTGGTGAATCTTTCTCACCAGACCTGCTCTTCAAGGGCCCACCTCTGTTGCCATGTACAGTGGAGGAACTGAGGCTCCAGGAGGTGATTACTTGCTGGAAGTCCCTCGGTGGTGGCCCTGGGCTGGTGGGCTTCTGAGCCGGCCCTGGTGCAGTTCATGGGGTCCCCAGGCAGGACAGGGAGCCCCGCCTGCAGCAGCTGTGCCGGGGTGGCAGGGGCAAAGGGGCTGCCTGACTGTGACCCCCTGGCCTTGCCTCGCAGGGCTATCCACCTCTGCAACAACTCCATCCAGAAGCACCTGAAGAACGACAAGGACCGCAGCCCCCTGCTGCCCTACCACAACATGTGGACCAGCACCCGGTTCCAGGAGTACCTGCAGAAGAGGGGCCGCGGGTCCGTGTGGAGCGGCGTCATCTACCCGTCCATGAAGCAGGCCATCGCCAACACCATGAAGGTGGCCCAGGAGCACGTGGAGCCGCGCAAGAGCAGCTTCGAGCTCTACGGCGCCGACTTCATCCTGGGCCACGACTTCAAGCCCTGGCTGATCGAGATCAACTCCAGCCCCACCATGCACGCGTCCACGCCGGTCACGGCCCAGCTGTGCGCACAGGTGCAGGAAGACACCATCAAGGTGGTCGTGGACCGCAAGGGCGACCGCAACTGCGACATCGGCAACTTCGAGCTGCTGTGGCGACAGGTGAGGTGCGGGCCGGGTGGGGGCGCTGCGGACACTTCTGCTGCCCGGCCTCAGGTGGGGTGCTCCGAGGACCTGGTGCCTGCCCCACCTCACGCAAACCAAGCAAAGCTGTGACTTGGCTGGTGGGATGCCCGTGGCCTCTGGGTCCTTCCCAGCTGCTTCTCTCCGGACCTGCAGTGTCCGCCCTCTCTCTTCAGGGAAAACCTCCCCCCTCCTCCAAGGGTCTTCCTGCAGGTCATGGGGCTGGGCTGGGTGGTGGCTTTGTGGCTGGTCCTTTGCTCTGTGAGTGAGACCCTGTCCCCAGGCCATCGGGAAGTGTGGTCGATGCTCCTCTTTGGGGCCTTATGCCTGACAGACCAACCAGGAAAGAGGGGACTGGTCCCTGGTGAGGGGCAGCCTGGCACCCCTAACCTTGCCCACCTCCCCCTCCCCCCAGGCCCCGGTGGACCTGCCCCCCATCTATGGGTCTGACCTCTGTGTAGAAGGCGTCAGCGTGAGGAAAGCCAGGAAGCAAATGCCACCCATTTCCAACCTAAAATTTTCGTCTTCGCTCCTGGACTCTCAGCCGCTGAGAGTGAGGTGCCCCACGGCCATGCCCGACCTGGTGCCCGGATCCCCGCGGACGGCTCTCCAGCAGGACTCAAAGCTACAAGATGGAAAGGTGCTTGTTGAGCCCCCTGGGAGGCGGCCGCTAGAACCTGTGAATCCGACGGCTTCACAGATACAGGTCCCTGCATATCATGTTCAACGTACAATAGGCCCCGAAACCCAGTCTTCCCACAGCTAAGCCAACAGACATCCTGATGCAAACGTAGTAAACGTGCACCCAGTGCTTCCGAGCGAGCACAGTGAAGACAGCAAGGGGCGCTGTGTGTGCGCTGCTGGGCCGGGGGAACCCCAAGACTTGCGCCCTTCCCGGCAGCCTGCTCTGGGCTGTTGGCTGCCCTGCTCGGGGCCAGGCGTGGCCTCTGGTTGGAGCAGGGAGCCTGTCTTTCTTTGTTGTTAATCTTTACCCAAGGATATTTTTTTCCCACTGATTTTGAGAGAGTGGAGGGGAGAGAGGGAGAGGGAGAGAGAGAAAGAAGCATCGATGTGAGAGAGACACATCAATTGGTTGCCTCCCACTCTTGCCCCAGCAGGGGCCTGGGATCGAACCTGCAACCCAGGTTTGTGCCCTTGACCAGGAACCGAACCCGTGACCCTTCGGTGCACAGGCCGATGCTCTAACCACGGAGCCACCCTGGCCAGGGCACCTCCCGAGCTCATCTGCGTAAGGACCCTGGTCCTTCCGGGCCTCCTTCCCTTCTGTGTAAATGTCACAATTGTTTCATTAAGTTTCACAAAAACCCTACTGAGATTTTGGTTGGATTTCCGTAGAATCCAGATTTGCTGTGGGGAGGTGGACGAATGAAATCGTGTCTCCCTGCCCAAGAACGTGACCTATTTCTCCATTTACTTAGATCTTTAAATTTTATAGCTTTCCCCATAGAGTGTTCCTCTCCCATTAGGTTTGTTCTTAGTCACCTGACGCTCTGGGCCCCTGATCGTTTCGTCACCTCGAAACCTCCTTGTCGTTGCTGCTGGTCTGCAAAACGCAGCCGACCCATGTACACGGTGTCCCCAAAACGTGTACGCACTGTAACAGCTGTTTCGTTCCTTTCAGCCAGACTAAGCTCTGAACAAAGAAAATGTATCCACTAGACTTTTTTATGGGGACACATAAGAGATAAACTTTATGGTACAAAACCAGCAACAGTGGACGCATCGAGGGCGCACAGATACCGCACAAAGTGATCCTTGGTGTTTGCGATTCCATTGCTTCGTGTTCCCAGCAGCGCCTGGACCAGAACGGCCATCAGTCTGAGAACAGGCGTTGACAAAAAACTTACTCATTTCTGTAGAGTCTTTTAAATTTTGAAAATGAACCTTATGTTAATAAACACTGACTTTATAAGCATTCAAAGTGTGCATACACTTTTTTTGGACACCTTGTATATTCATTTTCTATACCTCCACATTATTTCTTTCTTTTAAATTTTTTTTAAAAATATGTTTTTATTGATTTCAGAGAGAAGAAGGGAGAGGGAGGGAGAGAGAAACATCAATGATGAGAATCTCTGACGGGCTGCCTCCTGCTCGCCCCCTGCTGGGGATCGAGCCCACAACCCGGGCATGTGCCCCGACCAGGAATCGAACCCCGACCTCCTGGTTCATAGGTCAATGCTCAACCACTGAGCCACATGGGCCGGGTCCTTTGTACTATTTTTGTTGTTGCTGCTAATTTTTTCCGTTGATTTTTAGAGAGAGAGGAAGGGAGAGAGGGAGAGGGAGGAAGAGAGACTCATCAGTGGGAGAGACACATTGATCGGTTGCCTCCCACGCGCACCCCAACCGGAGCTGGGGATTGAATCTGCAACCCAGGTATGTGCCCTTGACTGGAAATCAAAACCCACGACCCTTCAGTGCCCAGGCCGGCACTCTAACCACTGAGCCACACCAGCCAGAGCTAGAAGTTCTATGTAATAAAGCTACTGGGTCATCCCTTTTCATTTCTTGCCCTTGCCTGTAATTTCTAAATAGCACTGAAGTTATGTAGTTGGCGAGTGGTCAGCATCTGATAGTGTCCTGTAACTAATAACTGGAATCTCGGTCATGCTTGGGTTGCTGGCTCTCCCCGCTTGCTCTCTCATTTTCTTGTAAGTGGCTTGTTTTCTTTCATCAGTTAATTGCAGGATTCTCTGTATTCCTTCCCAAATGCAGGTCTCTGTCCCTCCTCCAGGCCCCGAGGAAGGCACTCGGGCACCACTGAGACCCACAGCAAATACGTTGCCCCGCCCCCCAACCGCGCGGACAGGAGTCTGCAGATCTGGGCTTTCGGCTCGGTTTCCTCTGGAGTTTCCTGCATTGCTCAGCACCCTGACTCCTGCAGGCGTGGCCTTTCAAGGCGGTGCCACCGAGGGGTGGCATCTCACATCCCTTGGGGTGGTCTCCTTCCCTGACACCCTGTTGCTGAGGCCTGGGAGCCCCAGCACCAGCCGCCCTGGTTGGCGGAGCCACAGAAGGAAACGCCTGGAGCTCACGTCCCCTCAGCAGAGACCAATCAGTCCTTGCCTCTTTGCCAATGTTCTGTTGCTTTCAAGAAGGTGCTTTTCATACTTTATGCCCCAGGTTTGATAGTTTTCCCCAGAGGGTTGGCCTGGATCCTAGAAAACCTGGGCACAGGGTGACCGCTGGTGGCCCCCACCGCCCTCGGGGCCTCCTGTCTGTGTCCATTCACCCACCCAGAGACCCACACAGCCCCACGGCCCAGGGCTCCAGGTCTGGCTCCGGCCTCTGCTGCCTCCAGTGCACACACCCCACAGGTGCCCACGTGTTTGCTGCCTGGCATGCACACCTCGAATCAGGCGCCTCAAGTGGAGCGGGTCCCCCTCTCCCTGGTGTGGAGCTGGCCTAGCCTCGACCCTTCCAGCCCCTCAGAGGGCCCTGCTTAGCCCTGAGGTGCACTGGTGGGCAAAGAGCTGCCCGACAGCCTGGCCGGTGGCTCAGTTGGTTGGACCATTGTTCGTACACCAAAAAGCTTGAGGGTTTAACTCCCAGTCAGAGCACATACCTAGATTGCGAGTTCGATCCCTGGTTGGGGTGCGAACCAACTGATGTTTCTCTGCTTCTCTCTCCCTTCTTCTTTCTCTAAAAATTTATAAAAACATATTCTTGGGTGAGAATTGTTTTGTGTTTTTTTTTTAAAAAAAGGAGCTGCCACCCCTGGGGCACTGTGCCTGCTAACCCCAGATGCGGCCTCCCACCCTGTGTAAGCCCCAGCCCTAACCCCCTGCCTCCCACAATTTCATGTGCCCAGCACACGCCCTGGCTTGTCCCGGGGGCCAGGCTGGCCCCAGCGGCTGCTCCAGGCTCCAGGAAGCTGCAATCTGCTTTGCATAGGCACTGGGTAGCCCCACAGCCACCTAAACTATTCAGACACCACCTGAACCCCAGGGAGCAGTGACTCAGCCGGGCCGTTGGCAGAGGGCAGCTACGGCAGACATGGTGTTCCCGGTATAAGATCGCTGGCTGGGGACCATCCGGGCCCCAAGGCCAGACGCCTGGGGAGCCCCCTTCGCCCCACCCTCCCCATTTCCTCACCAGGGCCTGAGCAACCCAAGAGAAGGGGCTCTCAGCACAGGCCCACCCCACTCCCTAAGGAGGGGCCAGAGACCTGGGGGCAGCCTGGAGCAAGGGCTGTTGCCAGGGCCCACAGGATGAGCACTGGAGGCCTGTGGGGGTGGCCTAGGACCCTGCTTCTCGGAGGGGCCCAGATCCCACCTGCCTACTGACCTCACCAGCCCTGGGCGTCTAAGAAGCTGTGAAAATCTTTGTGAAGCCGCAGTTTCCTTCTGTCCACCAGGGCGGGGTGGGGTGGGGGTGGAGTGGCCTTGTCGAGGGCCGGCCAGCCCACCCTCGCCTGCCATAACCTTGGCAGGCCTGCCCATCTGCATGGCCACCAGCCTCCGCACCCTCACCCAGCAAGGTCCTGGATGGGCCAGAGAAGAGCTGAGCCTGCCCACGAGGTGGGCAGCTGCCCAGCTGCCAGTGCACCCGAGGCGGACAGCAGGCAAAACAGCATCACTCCCGGGCCAGGGGCTGGTCCGTCAGCCTGGGCTGATCCCCTGGTCCTGACACTCCGTTCTCCATACTGAGCCCCTCCAGCCACTGACCTACCTGGAGCTCGGGGTCCTGACCTAGCGTGCTGGCAGCGGATGGGCAGCTGCCAACCAGCCCCTGTCTCCTGGCATCCAGCCTGCGCCCACGGCCCTTGTTGATCCAGGCCCAGTGGGGACAGGGCCTCGGCTCCAGCGGTCTGAGCTCGGGCACGCCAGGTGGAAGGAACTGGTCTTCCAGGCGTGTCCTGTCTTGAGGGCCAGGTGGGTTCAGGGCTGGAGGAAGAGTTGGAGGAAGTGGCTCTTTCTGGGCTAGTGGGAGGGCCTGCAGGTGTCCTTCACTCTGGTCTCCTAAGCAAGTTAGTCCAGGGACACTGGGTGGACACTGCTGGGCCCTGCTCCTGAGGGTGGACACTCAGCTGGCTTTGGGGGAGGCTCATGGTGGTGACAGGGCTGAGGGCTCCTGGGAAGTTGAGCTTGTTCATAATTCCCTACAGTCACCCCGCAGGTAGTGGTCCAGCAGGACCAGGCTGCTGCCCTGGGACCCACCTGGTCCACTGAGCCACGCCGGTCTGGGCTGACCAGGCTATTTCTTATGGGGCCCCCAGCCCATCCTGATACCTGCATCCCACAACCCACCCCCCTCGCCCAGCCAAGACCCAGCCAGAGGAAGGCGCCCCCTCGGGCAGGTGAGAATGGGTCCCTCCTCTGGAGCCCCTCGTTGCTGGGAGCTCCCATCTCCCAGCCGGAGGTCTCGATCAGGATGCCATTTAATTCACTCACTTACTCAACAAAAGTCTTGCTCCGCTGGTCCAGGCTCGTCGCACTCCCGTGTCTCCTTCCACCGTGGTGCTGGGCGAGGGCCAGGCCCCTCCCATGCCACCGCAGCAGGACTCCCGGGCCCTCCGCTGTCAGGGGGCGACGCAGGTTTTGGAGGAGCCCCTGCAGATTCTCCGGGCTCAAGCTGGGGTGTCAGCCCCCTGAGCCTACACACAGGGTGAGAGGGCTGCAAGGAGTGGTCAGGGCCAGTTCTTTGTGGACATTGGGAAGGTCTGGAACCCCCCATCCCTCAGAGACAAGGCAGGAGCCCTGGAGGCTCATCCCATCCCCCGGAGGGCCCGTCTTTCCAACAGTCACGTGGTTGGATTTCCTGTCTCCTGATCACTCCTTGGCATGCGGATGCCAGTTCCAGGAGCAGGTGTGTCGCCTGGTGGAGGGGGCCTGCCCTAGTGCGGCCACAGGGGGGGGCTTCGGGTGTCAGTGGCTCCACTGGGGTGTCTCTCACTCACTCCGTGGGCCTCCTCACTCCGAGGAGACTGTGCCCAGGGAGTCACCTGGTGTAGCAGTGACTGTGCCACCCGGTGTGAAGGCTGGCGTCCCCCCCACACATACACTGTGGCCACAGGTGAACACAGCAGGGGTGGGGGCTCCATCCTCAGTTACATCACCAGGGGGGACCTCAGACCAGGCGGGCGCAGGGCTGGGGCACTGGCCCAGGAGAGAGGGAGGCTGGGTGGTGGGCTCTGGCACCCAGGCCAGAGTGGCAGGAGGGTGACATCTGCTGGCAGGCTCCATCTTCTGAGGTGACGTTCCCTCAGGGGGCCTCCTCAGTTCACTCCTGCCTGGGTCCAAGTTACTTCATGGAGCCCTCAGCTCCCTCTGCACCAAGGGCCACCCCAAGGACCTGGGTGCCAGGCCTGGCGATGGTGCCACTCTATGCGTGGGGTGCCCTGTGGGGTTTTCAGACAGAGTCCCCAGCCCCCCTGGGCCCAGCACACCTGGGGGCTCCCCGGCGATGCACCCCTTCACATGTCCCCCACACATGGGACAGTGCCTGCCCGGGGAGGGAGGAGACCGCAGGCCCAAAGCCACACCTGGGCTCTCTCCTGCCCACTGCCCTGCACTGGCTGGCGGGCCTGGAGGCAGATGGACACCCCAAGCCTCTGTCTGGAAATGTCTCCAGCAAACCAGAAGATTCAAGTGAGAAAAGAGCTCAGAGTGGTTCCTGAGCCGAAGCCAGGCCCAGCGCTACAGACCTTGGGGGGCACTGCCCTCTAGGGTGAGGGACAGTGACCAGAGAGCTTGGCAAAGGCCCTTTCTAATCCAGAGAGGTGGTGGGTGCTCAGGACTTGGGGTGGAGTCCCAGGTCCCACTCCAGGAGAGAGCTGTCCCCTGTGGGTGGGGGCTAGAGAAGGGGTGCAGGTGCCCAAGACGGCTCCTGCAGCTGACTGCAGAGCTAGACCACCAGGGTCCTCAGCCACCATCCATCCCCTGCCCTCAGGAGGGGTGTGCCCGGGGCCGTCGGGTATGGGGACGGCTCCCTGATCACACAGCCCCGCAGGCAGCCCTGTCCTATTGCTGGGTCCACTGGGACCCCAGTGACTCAAGCTTCAGGAGCCTGGCAGCCTAGAAACCCCACGGGCGTCTGGCCGAAGTCCATGAGCCCACAGCGCGAGCCGGGGCAGGTGGGAAGTTGGGCTGTGGTTTCTCGGCCGGCCCACTTGGGCTCATTCCACCGGGAGCCAGCGCGCAGCAGTGTCAGCTCCTGTTTGTTTTGGGAGCTGGAGCTGCCGCCGGGGAGGCAGGAGCAGCTGCACAGGGCGCCCTGCACGCTCACCCCATCCCCAGGCGCACACGCTGCCACCAGGGCCATGCTGGCGGGGCGAGCCCTCGCACTCCTGTCACTGGCCTGGAGCACCTACCAGAGCCTGGCCATCCCCCGGATCACAGAATGTGGCCTCTCCTGTTCTCCGGTGAGCCCCTGGCCCCTCCAAACTCTCATCTTGAGGGGGCCCTGGTTCCTCCGTGGGTGGGCACTGGCTTGGCACCCTGAGCACACAGGAGCAACAGGTGGAGAGTGTGGGGGCCCGGGGGTGGCGGGTGGCAGGAGGCTGAGGGGGCCCTGGGGGCCTGGGGCTCCCTGCGAGGTGCCCGGCTGGCCCTGCCGCACTGCTCTAGGAGATGTTTGCCTAGAGCCCCAGGGGCAGGTGAGCTGGCACATCTGTGACCCTACCTCTGAGGAGATAGTTAGGGGCAGCCTGGAGCCCAGCCCAGCTTCCCTGAGCCCCGTTGCATTACCCAGGGCCCTGGCTCCAATGAGGAAATGCTCCGGGGAACACGCTCATCCTGGGCGGGAAGGGGCCTCCAGGCAAGGACACAGCTTGGCAGTGGTGGTGTCCCGGGACTTTTCTGGGCAGAGCCGGGTGACTCAACCTCACCCATGGGAGGTCCTGGAAGATCTGCCATGAGAAGCGTGGTGCATCCCAGGAGGTGCCCCAGCGCCAAGGCTGGCCACAGCACAGCCGGACAAAGCCCAGGAGGTGGCATGGGCGGGGGGATGGGGGACCTGATGGAGCACCTATTGTGTGCACCGGTCCAGGTGTGGGACAGCAGGGAGCTAGACGCCACCCCAGAGACCAGTGGTCTAAATGTAAAAACACACAGAACTAGCAGTGGCGGGCACTGCTGAGGAGGAAAGGAGAGCCTTGGGTAGGGGCAGCCTGGGTCCAGGGCTCATGGGTGACTCTCAGCGCTGGCTGGGCCCCTGGGGACACGTGGGGACACGTGGGGATATCAGTCCTCCTTCAGCATGAAAGGCAGCTCCAAGAGCCTGGGAGTGTGTCCAGCAGAAGGCTGGGGACCTCAGCGAGGGACAGAGGGGGCTCAGGGTGGCTGGAGCACCGGGCAAGGGCCAGGCAGGGCCTAGGAGGCTCGGAGCTGGGCTCAGATCTGAGGTGCTGGCCCCTGGGGGCTGGGGCGGTTCCCTTAGGCTGCAGAGGAAACAGGCGAGTCCAGGTGGTGGTGTGGGGGGGACGCAGAGCAGGAGGGGTGGCTCTGGGGTGCCCTGTGTGGGTGGAGGTGGCAGGAGGGCTCCTGGGTGCAGCAGGAAGGAGGAAAGTATGGTGGCTTAGGGCAGCCCCGAGCCTCGGGGCCGACGGAGGAGCCAGTCCGAGATGGGGGCCAGTGTTCATGAAGGGGAGAAACTAGCTTTGAAATACGGGGTTTGAGAGCCCATCAGATGTGGAGAGCTGGTGGGTGCCGGGGTAGAGGCCGGGGCGAGGCTGTCCCACACCGGGAGGGGACTGGGCAGTCAGGGCTGAGGACCGGGCGCCAGCCCAGGGAATGAGCCGGAGAAGGAACCTTGGAAGGAAGGGAGGGGCTGGAGGGGACAGGAGGCCACAGGCAGGAGGAGAGGGGTTCACTGCCCACAATGGGGTGGCCTGGCAGTGGGGTTAGGGGAGGGGGAGGGATGGGGCAGCTTGTAGCTAAGGGGGGAGGGTGCTGGTCAGCATCCGGGGTGAGGGCGCAGGGACAGGAGCCAGAGCAGGAGGGGACAATGGGAGGTTTCTGTCCAGAATGTGTTGCCGGAGGGCTGTTCTAGGCCTTGGCCACTCTCCTTGATGACCAGGCAGTCAAGGCTGGGAGGACAGGAACAGGCCACAGGGCAAATGTTGCCTGTGGGGTGACCGGGAAAGCAGGGCCTCACGGTGCATAGAGCCATCAGGGGCCTCCCTGTCCCACCCCGCTGGTCTTCCTACAGTTAAGCCCAGGACACTGGGTCCCTTCCTCCAGCTGGATGGACTCAAGCAAGATGGGGCCAGGGGACCCAGACCTCACCTCAAAGGGGTGTGCCTCGGGGGTCCCTCCCCACAGACACTCCCTCCCCACCCTCTGAGTTGGGCCGGGAAGCCCCGAGAGGCCCAACGGAAAACCCCAGCAGCTTCCAGCTTCTCCATGTCCAGCTGGCCCTTTGCAAGGCCCCAGGGCTCCGGGTTAGCCCTCTCCCCTGTTCCCGGACAGTGGGGCTTCCTGGCAGTACAACCCACAGGCATTCTCTGGCCTCAACCTTTGCCCCTGTTGACCCCTCTTCCTGTGTCCCCAAAAGCACTGAAGGGCCAGAGGGCTACGAGACCACATCCACCTGCCTCCACCAGACACCACGGCCCATAGCTCCCAGTCTGTGTGGGTCTCCTGCCCTCCCCACTCCTGCTCAGTCACGTTCTCGAGGGGCCACCAGGTGGGCAGGGCTGCAGGGTCAAGGTGTCCTGTCCGGCCTGTGTTCCTCTGACCTCAGGGGGTCTTGTGGCAGCTGGAGATGGAGGACGGGCTCGCAGGCTGTCCCCAGGGAGATGTTACCATGGTCAGAAAATGGGACAGTGACAGCAGGGTGGGAATCAAAAGATGGGGGAGGCCTCTGTGATGTAGGACAGAAAACAGACATTAGTGGAAACGGGATGAGATGCACCTTCAGCTGGAGCTTAACCAATGGTGACGCGCCACCAACGTGCCATCACTCAGTATGATGTTGATATCAGGGGATGCTGGGTTAACTCCCCCAAACCTAACACTATTCCAAAATGAGACGACAGGACCAGCAGGGTGCCTGCTCCCAAATCCAAGGAACAGAAGTGGACCCCAGTTTTATCTTTCTTCCTCCCACCGGTGCCACCAGCAGGGAGCCCAGGTCCCCATCTTGAGCCCCCCAGCCCACTGTCCCAGCTTCCTGGGGTCACTAGGTGGCCAGTTCACTCTGGGAAAGGGACAGAGGTCACCCCCCTGTTGCTTCTGGAGGCCACTGGTGTCACTGTTGATCACGGGTCTTGCCCTCCTGTGCCCTAGGGCAGCACCCATCCTGCTCTTGGGCACCTACGCAGCCTGGGGCAATGGGGCCTGAAGGTCCATGGGGCTCCAGGCTACACCGTTTACTGCGTGACCAATGCATGCAGACCCTCGGGCTGGGCTTCCACAGGGCCAGTGTTCCCAGATATGGAAGAGGAGAGGGACCGTGGCACCCCACACCTCCCTGGGAGCGCAGCACCAAGGGTCTCCCCTGGCTTTCCCCAGGCCGGGTTCAGGTGGGACAAGAGGTGGCAGAGGTGACTTCCCACCCCCTCTCTCTGTTTTGTCTCCAGGGCTTCACCTGCAAGAGCCTCAAGAACTGTGAGTACATCTCGGGTGGGGGGGGGGATGTGCTGCCCTCCCGGCCACCAGGGCCGCCGTGTCCTCCCTGGGGGTCAGGTCTGCCCACAGCTGGGGTCCCCTCCCTGTCCCTGGCCTGGGGCACTTGGGCTCACCGAGTGTGAAGTCACGAATTCCATGCCACTTTACATCCCCACCAGCGACGTATGGAAACCCCACTTCCTCTTCTCAGACTTTTCCATTGTAAAATGACAGGCCACTTAAAATAGCTTTATTATCTTTGTAAACACCGTTTATATTTACTAAAAGGAATATGATTGACGTAGAATATATTAGGAGGAAAGTTAAAATAAATTTCACTCCAGCCCTGGCTGAGTGGCTCAGTTGGCGCGGCGTCCTGGGCACCGACAGGCTGCAGGTTCGATTCCCCGTCAGGGCACATACCGAGGCTGCGGGTCCCATCCCTAGTCGGGGCGCACGCGGGAGGCAACCGATCTCATCAATGTTTCTCTCTCTCTCTCTCCCTTCTTTTCTCTCTAAAAATCAATAAAAACATATCCTCAGGTGAAGATTTAAAAAAATTAAAAATAAATTTTACTCCAAAGCCCCTGTATAGAAATAAATATGATCTACATTAGGAAAACATTGTTTAGACATTTCTGCAGGCACATGGGATAGGATAAGAGGATACAAAGAAAACGACTTGTGTATGTGGCCCCCGGTGTTCTTTCTTTCTTGGATACAGTTTCCATCTGGTATCATTTTCCTTCCTGCCAGAGGAGTTTCACTTTTTGTTCTCTCTGTAGCTTGTCGGGTCTTCTGATGAGCTCTCTCGCCTCTCGTATGCTAGTCTTTACTGACCCTTCCTTTTGGGAGAGATGTTCCCGGGGTGTAGGATTCTCAGGCGGCAGGTCCGTCTCTCTCCAGGTTAGAGGTTTTCTCCCGTCTCCTCACCGGCACTGCTACCAACACGACCTGCCTCACGCTCGTCTTCGTTCCTCTGTACAAGCCTCTCCTTTCCTCCGGGGCTTCTACAACCTTCTCTCCGTCGCTGCCTTCGAGCGAATCGATCATGCTGCGCCGGGTTGTCATTCTCTTCGTGTCTCTCCCACTTGAGCGCTGGGACAGCTTCTTGTATCGTGTTCATCAAGTTTTGAAACATTTGTGTCATTTCTTGTGTTCATCAAGTTTTGAAACATTTGTATCATTTCTTGTGTTCAAGTTTTGAAACATTTGTATCATTTCTTATGTTCATCAAGTTTTGAAACATTTGTATCATTTCTTATGTTCATCAAGTTTTGAAACATTTGTATCATTTCTTGTGTTCATCAAGTTTTGAAACATTTGTATCATTTCTTGTGTTCATCAAGTTTTGAAACATTTGTATCATTTCTTGTGTTCATCAAGTTTTGAAACATTTGTATCATTTCTTGTGTTCATCAAGTTTTGAAACATTTGTATCATTTCTTGTGTTCATCAAGTTTTGAAACATTTGTATCATTTCTTGTGTTCATCAAGTTTTGAAACATTTGTATCATTTCTTGTGTTCATCAAGTTTTGAAACATTTGTATCATTTCTTGTGTTCATCAAGTTTTGAAACATTTGTATCATTTCTCCGGCTTTTTCTCATTTCCCCCATTCCCTCTGGAACCCTAATTTCATAAACAGTTCACTGATGCATTTTCCATTATTACAGCAGCATGATCGGCACTTTCTGTTTATTTTGGATAGTTTCTATTGCTATGTCAGTTCCCCAGTCTTTAAATATTTTTGGTCAATGTCCAATCTGCTATTAATCCTGTCTGATGTAGTTGTTTTCAGTGCTGGAAGTTGGATTTGGATTTTTTAAAAAATGTCTCTTATGTCAATAATTAACTTTTTGAACATGTGAGTACAGCTATAATAATTGTCTTAATGTTCTTGTCTACTAAGTCTAGTATCTGTGTCAGTCTTAAATAATAGACTTTTCTCCTCATGTTGGGCTGTGTTTTCCGTGATTCTTTGCATGGCTTATAATTTTTTATTGAATTTTATCCTGTCATGTGCTGAATATATTTTTTATTCCTACAAATATTCTTGAGCCTTTTCTGGAATATAGCTAAGTCACTTGTAAACGGCTTGATGTTTTGGGGATCTGGTTTTTAAGGGTTTTTTTTGGCAGGACCAGAGCAGTGCTCAGTCTGAGGCTAATTCGCTCAGGATGCTCTCCCATCTCTCTGGCTCTGTCCTGCGGACTCTGGCCACTTTGTCTGCCCAGACTGTCCGCCCCATTTCCTCAGCTCAGGTGCAGCCTGCTCCGCTCACCTGGCCCCACTCCAGATGCCCAACCCAGTCTGAGCAGGGCTCAGGGGCGGGTCCACCATCCACCAGGGGACCTGTCCTGATTGCACTGGGCAATGTCACAAGGACCCCTCCCCAGACTGTGCAGCCCCAGAGCTCCCCCTGCTGGCCTGACCACCACGAAGCTTCCCTGGGTGCCAGGGAGCCCTGTGGCACTCACCCCCTTCTCGCTCCCCAGGGAGCATATTGAGCAGCTTCTGCAGGCAACCCCCAGCGTCCATGTCCCCGTCAGTCCTAAGGGCCCTGACGCTCTCCACCGCCATGAAGTGTGCCCCCCACGACGGCTGCTCCCTGCTGCTGCGTGTGCAGGCCTCCTTCATGCTGCATGGTGAGAGGGTGCCACCCAGGGAGAGGGTGGTGGGCTCAGGGCACCTTTAACCCCCAGAGCAATGCAGGGCTGGCAGGGAACCCTGCTAACTGCACTTCCCAGAGAGGAGGGGAGGAAGGGGTTTCACGCCAAGGTCTGATGAATGACATGGCCCCTCCTTCCACCAGAGAGCCTGCGGGGCCTGGAGGCCTGCTTCATGAGCCTCAACACCCAGGAGACACACTGTGACAGCGTGCGGGTCCCCAGGGCCTCTCGCCGGCTGCACGTGGGGCAGCAGGTAAGGCCAGGGTCTGACCTGGACCTGCCAGTCCAGCCCCAAGCCTTTGTGGAGCCACAACAGCTGACCCCTGGCCTGCTCCAGTCTGCCCTCCCCTCACAGCCACCTGTCCACAACTGGTCCTAGGGCTCTGCCACCCAAGACCCAGGGAATGGGCACCACTCCTCTGCTTCCAGGTCCTGGGTTCTAGCTGTGCCAGGTGGAGCTGGCCTGGCCAGGGGTGGACAGAGGCCCCAGGTCCACCTGGCTCACACCTGTACCTGCCCAGCTCCAGGTGCACTTTGACTGCTTTGAGGTCAGCGTGGCTGAGAGACTCTATGTCACCCTGAGGACCATCCCCCACTTCTGTAAGGTGCAGCTGGAACAGCAGTACCAAGTGGAAGGTGAGAGCCAAGGGGACAGGCCTGGGCACAGCTGCCATCTGGCCTCCAGGGACTGATGTCTGGTGAGACTCACCCAGGGCAGGGGGCAGGGCTGGCATGATCAAGATCAATCGTCAGGCTTAATTTGGGGCACAGCCTCCCTGGAGAGGAGGGACTTCTGGGAACCACATGGACAGAGGCCTGGCTGGGGGGCGGCCCCTCAGGCAGAGCAGGCAGAGCCCACAGTTGCCTCTGTCATTTGCAGACTGTGGCGATGAGGCCGTGGGGAGGAACGTGCCCGACTGCTTCGGTGAGCCCCCTCCTCAGGTGGGACCTCAGCCTACCTGAGATGACCCTCAGGTTGCTGCGGGCGCCACAGCCTCCCTCTGGGGTTTTCCTCCCACCCCATGAAGGAAATCAGGATGGGGCCTCAGGTGAATGCCTCCCAATGCCAGGGGTCACCACCTTGGAGCTCTCAGGGGAGCCCCTGTGTCTGGTACTTCTGGTCCCCGTGTGACCTCCCCTTGCCACGCCCCTACAGCCAGGAAGCTGTCCTACTGGGTGGACCGCAGCCGCAAGGTCTTTCTGGTCCAGGTGCCGGAGGCCTCTGGGGGCACCGACTACTACCTGCGGCTCTGCCTCAAGTGGTTCACCTGTGAGGCCGTAGGCGAGCTGGTGCAGGTGAGCCGCGGGCAAGGCCTGGCATGCACCTGGCGGCCAGCTGGCACCTTGCCCTGGGTCCCTGACCCCCTCAACGCCCCGCCCTTCCAGGCCCAGGCCCCGCCCACCACCCCCAAGGTCGCATT